TGCTAACTCAAAAAAAGTTCTGTTATGCAAATACGCGTCTTTGCGAACTTTAAATTTCCTTTCAATTTTTATCATACTTGCTGCGAAGTTCATCCCAAAGGAATCTAACGTTACTCTTAACATCGGGACCATTATCTTGCCACCAAACAAGCTAACCAATAACTGAATAATCGATATCTTTCATCGACACTATATATTTGCAAATAATATACCTGATCCAAAGTAAGGTTAGCAGTACCTAGAAAAAAAAAAGGTTTTGCTAAACCTAACTCAGGTATAGAATGTCACACTTTTCAGCAGATTAGATCAATACTGAGTATTCATTTAAAATTTTGAAAACTTACATAATATTAATTAAGCGATGCTATAGGGTCCAGCATATATAGCAATCACTAGATTTTTTGGCTTTTGCCACGTTTTAAACTCCGCAGATAACAAAAAGTCAAACTGAGACTCTGAAGACCACAAACTACCCGTGAAATTCCGTGATTTTAAAATAATACGGAAACAGCAAACACAACCAATTGTAAAAAAGTAATTTTTAAGCTTTTTACTTTGTGAAAATAAAAATAAAATTGATACACATTTCAATAATTTATATAAGTTTATCAAAACGTTCTTTGAATATTTTTTCTTGAGGTAGAGCGTTTAGTTAATTTAATGTTTAGTATTTTAAAAAGTAGTGGGTCCTTCCCAGGATTTTGTTCCCTAGATATTCTAGGAAGGACTTAGGAATTAGACCGTCTCTCAGAATACACATCACAAGTCACGAAACTTAATAATATGGACAATTTGTCCATAAATTTGAAAAGGACTTCGAACCAGTATTTTTTGATGATTTTATTAAACTAGTTTATTACTTTAACAAATGCAATAATTTCATCCCATAAACCAATGCAACAAGTAAATCCCGACAAAGTATATAAATATTGGAACTTTGTGTAAATAAAAATGAAATTGATACACATTTCCAATAATTTATGTAAGTTTATGAAACTTTATTTGATTATTATTAAAGATGTAGAGTGTATAGTTTATTTAAAATGTTTAGTATTGTAGAAGAAACAATATCTG